CTTTCTTCCTCCTGCCTCTCCCCAGCTACTCTCACCCCCTCCCCCACTCCCAGCCAAGGAACCACATGGTCCTCCCGCCTCACCCAAGGCCACGGCCCCCCCGCCCTCCTCCCTCAGGTGGTGTGCGCGAGGTGCTCCGACTACCGGGCTGAGCTCAAATATGACGCCAACAGGCCCAACCGCGTCTGCCTCCACTGCTACACCTTCCTCACCGGCCACGTGCTCCCTGAGGACAAGGAGGACAAGAGGCGGGGCATCCTGGAGGTGAGGGCACCATCCTCCCTTCAGCCAAGGGCTGCGGGGCTGCCACGCGCGGGCACTGTCCTGGGTGTGGCCCGCCTCGCCACATTCTCTGTCCTCCCTCTGCCCACGACACCCCCTCCTGCCCCTCCCCCAGCAGCCTGCTGTCCCCACAGGAAAGCAGCTTTGGGTCCAGGCTGTCTCCCAGGCCCTGCCACCTTCCCTGTGTCCCCATCCAGTGACCGCACAGCCTCTCCCGACAGTCCCTGCTCACGCCCCCAGCAGATGAAGAGAGCGGGGGGTGGGGTGGTGGTGGTGGTACCGATTCCATTTTACAGGTGGGGAAACTGAGGCTCCAGGTCAGGGTCTTACTGCTGGAAAGAGGCAGATGGGAGACTCCATTCTAACCAGAAAGGACTCAGGGACCTGTCTCATGGGAACCCAGGCCCCAAGCAGCGACTTGCCCACGGTCACCCAGCGAGTTAGGAGCCAGCGCCATGGCCTCCCCACAGCTGTCCTCGCGGCTGCCCTCGGGCCTGGCTGAGCGGCTCACCCCCCAGGCCCTCCCAGGTGCTCCCTCGCTGCTGGGCAGCACCTGTGGGCGCTAGCTGTATTCAGCTTCGTGCTACAAATACAGTGTGACCCGGCGTGGCACAGTGTGCCCTCTGCCTCCCTCACTAGAGGTCAGTGGGCATCCCACTGCCCCTGGGAGGGGAGAAGACCAGCCTATTCCAGCTGAACACAGCTCCCGGGCTTCCAGCTAGTTCCTTCCCATGGGCATCTGCCTGCCTTCCAATCCTCCCCACTGTGCTAGGTCCAGCCCCCGTCACGCCCTCACTGACCATTAGGCAACACAGCCCGCCCCTGGAGAGAGGGGAGGGCCAGCCCCTTCTCAGGCCCTAATTGTGTTCCCTGGGGGAACTTTTGGGTGAAAAGCCCCCCAGCACCTGCCCCAGTTCAGGCTGGCCAGGGTTTGACCAGCTCTGCCACTGGCCAGCTGGTGACCACAGGCCCATGATGGCACCTCTCTGAGCCTCAGGGACCAAGAACTGCCCTGCAGGGTGGCCACAGGACCGGAAATAGTGACTGTCCGGCTCCCGGTGTCCTCTGGTTGTAGAAGGGGTCCACGGCGGGGGCCGAGCGGAGCCTCATGGGCAGCTTCCTGCAGCTCGTCGGGGACAAGTGGGGCAAGAGCAGCAGCCGGGGCTGGTGTGTGATCCCCCGGGACGACCCCCTCGTGCTCTACATCTATGCGGCCCCCCAGGTAATGCCCCCACCTGCCCCCAGGCCTGGCCTTCTCACAGCATGTGGGGGTGGGCGAGGGGGATATTGTTGGCCCCATACCTCAGATTTGGAGACTGAGGCCCAGTGCGGACATAGTTCTCTGGAGCCACAGGATTAGTGGCTTTCAAAGCTGGGCCCAGACTCCAGGGCACAACTGCTTTGTCCTCAAGGGGCAGCCAATTCTCCTGTCCCCTGATGCCCTCCCGCCAGCCCGCCTCCCTCCTGGGTCTGTGGGAAGTGGGGGCAGGTGTGTGACTGTCTGAGGCAGCGGGGCCGAATGGGAGGACAGCGGCCCACGGCTCTCTCCTCCCTCCCAGGACATCCGGGCTCACACCTCCATCCCCCTGCTGGGCTACCAGGTGACCACGGGGCCCCAGGGGGACCCCCGAGTCTTCCAGCTGCAGCAGTCCGGCCAGCTGTACACCTTCAAGGCCGACACCGAGGAGCTGCGGGGCCGCTGGGTGAAAGCCATGGAGCGGGCGGCCAGCGGCTGGAGCCCTGGCGACCCCGAGGACG